AGTATCATCATGGTGTTTAGTATTATGAAGAATATTTAGATAAGTAAACTTCTGCTTTTGCCATGTTCTTCTTTATGCTATCTTATATTTGGGTATGTAGTGGATTAGCACATATAAGTAAATTAAGTGTAGTATTGAAATAATTTGGTATGATTTATATACTGCTTATCTTTGACTGCCACATTTCCCTTTTCTCTTACATCCAAGCCAGGACTAGTCTCTGCCCATTCTGCCTTCTAAATAGCTATCAGATAGGGTTGCTTCTATGTATAATCACTGTCACCATGTTAGTTTAGACTACAGTCATCTCTCCTGTATGAACTCCTTGTGTTAAATTTTGTCCCTCTTTGTTCCCCACATGGTTGTGAGAGTAAACTTTCTGAAACGCAAATCTGGTTTGATCATTCTGCTGTTTAAAACCATTCAATAGCTCTCCATTACTTCTGGATAAAGTCACACTCATAACATAGTTAACAACTTCCTTTTATATTATGGCCTTTGGGGATCTATTACTTTCACCCCACTCCTTTTTCTTTCCTCTATTGCATTCTCATTCATTTTCCCTTTAATTATGGTCTTTTTTTTTTTCCCATATCCTCTCCTCTTTCCTTCTGCATTTTTTTTTTTTTCACTCATTCAGGCTAGTTTTACCTCTTATCCTCACTGTTTTCCAAGATTAATGAAATCTGGGTGAAGGGGTCTCTTCTATATCCAATAGTAACCTTCTCTTGCTTTGTCATGCATGTGCATTTGTTTACCTGAATCTCTACTATGTTTTAAGCTTCATAAAATTCGTCACTTTTCTTGCCATTTTCAGAAAAATAAGCCAAACTAGAATATAGTGCTTACTATGTAGCAGGTGTTCAATATTTATTTATTGAATCAATCAATGAAATATGTATTGACCTCTGTGAGAAGAATTTACTATTAAAGACATATGCATTTCCACTTTGTGAACCACATTTCCTAACACAATTCCATGTAAAGAAACAAATTCATCATTTGATTTCAAATCTTTAGTAAATTTGTATATATATAGTTTTTTCTTTTTTTAAAAAAATACTTTAAGTTCTGGGATACATGCAGGTTTGTTACATAGGTATACATGTGCCATGGTGGTTTGCTACACTTATCAACCCATCATCTACATTAGGTATTTCTCCCAATGCTATCCCTCCCCTAGCCCACCACCCCTGGGCAGTCCCAGGTGTGTGATGTTCTGCTCCCTGTGTCCATGTGTTCTCATTGTTCAGTTCTCACTTATGAGTGAGAACACGCAGCGTTTAGTTTTCTGTTTCTGTATTAATTTGCTAAGAATGATGGTTTCCAGCTTCATTGATGGCCCCGGAAGGACATGAACTCATCCTTTTTTTTTTTTTGCTGCATAGTATTCCATGGTGTATATGTGCTGAATTTTCTTTATCCATTCTATCATTGATGGGCAATTGGGTCGGTTTCTAGTCTTTGCTATTGTGAACAGCGCTGCAATAAACACATGTGTGCATGTGTCTTTATAGTAGAATGATTTATAACTCTTTGGGTATATACCCAGTAATGGGATTGCTGGGTCAAATGGTATTTCTTGTTCTTGATCCTTGAGGAATGACCACACTGTCTTCCACAATGGTTGAACTAATTTACACTCCTACCAACAGTGTATAAGTGTTGCTATTTGTCTACATCTTCTCCAGCATGTTGTTTTCTGACTTTTTAATGACCTCCATTCTAACTGGCATGAGATGGTATCTCACTGTGGTTTTGATTTGCATTGCTCTAATGACCAGTGATGATGAGCTCTTTTTCATGTTTCTTGGCCACATAAATGTCTTTTTTTGTTAAGTGTCTGTTCATATCCTTTGCCCACTTTTTGATGGGGTTGTTTTTTTCTTGTAAATGTAAGTTCTTTGTAGATTCTGAATATTTTTGTTACTTTTCTCCTTTATAAATACATCCCTTCCTCTCTCTCTCACTTTCATTTTGTGTTTCCAAGTAAAATATGTCGTTAGTAATCCACAAGAAAAAAAAGAAGGTTGTTTTTATGAAATGTTGATAATGATATTTCAAAAACCTTGAAGAAAGAATGTTGACATGAATTCTCATTCTGGACTGCTAGCCATGATCAGAGACATCTACATGGATATATTTTTCTAAATAACATCTGTAGGAGAAATATTACTTTTTCTTAGTTAAATAAACATAATACTTAGCTAATTTTCTATTAGGCAATTTATGAGAACAGCAATCATTTTGTGTTTTCTCCATTTTGTACTTCTGGGTCTCAAACTTATTTATGTGTCTAAAATGATGTTTAGAGACTTAACTAATGATTTGTTTGTAATATTTTCATCTCTGCAATTGTGGCACATCAAAGTGTATAGGAGAAACATATTTAAAATAATAAATAAAATGCATAAAATAAATATGCCAGATATCTTGTTTTCTTTTTTATTCTTTTGAGACGGAGTCTCACTCTGTCACCCAGGCTGGAGTACAGTGGTGCATCTCAGCTCACTGCAATCTCCACTGCCCAGGTTTCAACGGATTTTCCTGCCTCATCCTCCAAGTAACTGGGATAACAGGCACCTACCACCATGCTCAACTAAGTTTTGTATTTTTAGTGGAGACTGGGTATCACGATGTTGGCAAGGTTGGTCTTTAACTCTTGACCTCAGGTGATCCACCAGCCTCCATCTCCCAAAATGCTGGGATTACAGACATCAGCTATCATGCCCTGGAGATATCCTGTTTTCTATTTTAATTATTTTCAACTTCCCAAAATAAAATGAAAATGGAAAAACTGAAATTTAATAAAAATAAAGTTAGAATAAGAGAAAAATTCTAAATTTGGGTACATTTAATTTTAAAAATTAAAGGAAAAAAATGTTTCCGATGTTAAAGGAAATGATTTGTCAGAAAGATTTCAAGCACTGCACAGGTTAAGGGACTCAGGAAAAATCCGATTAATGTTGGATATAATTTCTAAGCATATTATGTTTACTCATAGGCCCTGTCCCCTTTCTCTTTGCATTCTAGTTTTGGATCTGACTTAGGAATTGACATGCTCCAGTACAATTTAATTAATATTCACAGATGATTTAGAAATTTTTTTTTTTACAGGTAGCCTTTTTTTTTTCTCTGGATGGGACCAAAATTATTAGCTAGACATTTCTATTGGGTGATCCAAATGGCTCTAGTTCCAATGATAGAAAAGAAACATTACGTTTATTTGGCCAGTTCCTGCTCCTTCCAAATTGCTTAACCCCAAAACTGCATACTCCAAGCTCAAGGTATGTCTCCATTGCTTGGTCACCCACATAATTTGCAGTTACCTGTGGGTAGAGCATAAAGAATTCATTAGAGAGCTAGATTAGCAGCCTCAAACTAGATTTTTATTAATAATTCAACAGTTGGCTTCCATGATATAAAATCTAGAAACTTACAGATATAAACCCTAGAATAACTTCATTTAATTCACACTCCTCTGCTCTAACTGTCTAAGTAATTGTTGCTATCCAGGTCTCTGGGAGATGACTAATAGCTTTTGACTAACCTCTGGGGATCGCACTACTAGAATCAGAAGAAAATTCTAAAGATCTAGTCATCTAGTCATCACAGTTCTAGGAAATCCCTTAAAAAGCAAAGAAACATCCACATTTTTATGTATTACTAGATAAAAATTCATTAAAAAACATTATTCTGTTTGTATAATTCAAGTAATTTTAGGTAAAGTCAAGTGATCAGTTATCAGTCCATCTATACAGAGCTCACTTTCTAAAGTCAGGTGACTTCTTTCCAGTTAGTAGTTGGAATCTGACAAAGTTAAAATCATGCTAAGCATGTTTCTTAAAGACTTCTTTATTTTCTCTTCTTGTTCTTTTTTTTTTTTAACAGAAATATCTGTTTTCTAATAGTATTAATAGTAACATAGTTTTAAAATGCCACAGACTCTCTTGATTTTTAACTAGAAGTTCAGGATGTTTCCAAAGAGCTAATTGTGATTGAATTATCTTTGTAAAGCCAAACATTTTGAGTAAATAATATAAACATAATAATTTGGATTGCTCATGTGGCTAAACAGGTAGATTACTTGAAAGAGAAGTTTGTATTTGGTCAAGAAGTAGGGGTGAGTGGCATTAGAGAAAATCAATGTTGTTTTTCAGTTTTTCGGTTAATCTCTTCTTATTGCTTTATTTCTTTTTGAAATGTATAGTTTGTTCTTCTAAGTCAATACATCTTATTACTGTATTGTAAGATGATACAGAAAAAAAAATAGCCTGATAACAAATGAAAGAGCAACTTGCATTGTTTCTACAAAAATTATACTAAATATCTCTACTTAAATATTCTACCGGCTTTCAAATCACTTTTTTTTTTTTCAAATTTAGGCAAATTGTGAAAAGCAATTAGACTATAGTTACAAGGGATGGAAATGTATAATTGGTATAATAGGTTTCATAATCATTAAGCTAGAGAGAAGAGAAACTGAAATAAGTTAATTCCTTTCCAAAGGAAAGGATCCCAGTGTTTTTAAATCGAGGAGTAAAAAGCAAAGGTCTAACTGCCATGTAAACTCATTTTAAATGTCATGTCTTATTACAACCTAATAATCGGAATACCTATTTCCCTCTTTTGCTTGAGCCATCAAATTTGTCAAAATTTTATGATAATTCATTTCATCATTCCTTAGACATTTAAATGACAGAGTCCTAGTCAAGGAGGGGAAAGCTTCTGTAATTCTACGCCTCATGGTACAGTTGCCTCTGGAGAGATTTTTAAAATATTCCATATCATGGTATAAGCAGCAGCTAAACTTCTCAATTTCACTGTGATTTCTTGCCTTTTCAGAAACTGATAATAAATTGGCTACCTACCATTCTTGACCTTTTGACTTCTGAACCACTGCTGACCAAATCTTAGCTTGCCTTGTTTAAGTCAGTAGCTCTAGTATCTCTCTGATCCTCTCCCAGAGGGTCTGAAGCTTTCAGGCTCCTGAACGGGTAAGCTCCCCCTCTAGTGTTCACTGCTCATCAAATTATTCCTCCAACAAATAAGACAGAGAACTGCCTGTTTTTTGATTCCCTATCGAAGGACGGAGCTTGAGCCAACATTTATAACTGTTTAATGACACAAAGAGGAAAAGGTAAGTATAAATCCTGCATTTAAAAAAAAAGTTCCTTCCTTTTGATTCCTTTTAAAGCATTGCTACTGTTTGGTTATGAAACTAAGAAATGCTGCTTGTGCTGCCTTGCAGGCAGAATGCATGGCTGAATAGACAGGATGAGTTTGAAAGATATAAGATGATCTGGGAAAAAACAATCCTTTCTGTTGGGAAGCTGCATACCTGGTCATGAATAAATGACTTCTCAATGGAAGCTAACGCTCAGGAGCTTTTTATTTGTAGACCAATTACCAATAGAGGAGCAGGATGGGGGATTGGGTTGTTCTAGGGAACACCAGTATGTTTTTCTTCCAGGATTTTAAAAAAGACCAGTAAAAAATGAAATGCCTTCCATTTGTTTTTGCAAAGAGCCTGGGTAAATAGTCCCCTACACTTAAAGACCCTCACTCTATTTGACACAGAACTTCAGAAAAAAAAAAGTGCAATAGATATTGGTGGTAGTTTTCAAGTCTGTTGAACTCAAAGGTTAAAAGTTCAAGAACTTCATTAAATGTAGTGTTGAAGCCTTAGTGTGACATAATCCAGAATTTATCATGCAATTGAAAGTAAGAGAAAGAAAAAAGGAAAAAGCAACAGAAGGAAAGAACTAAAACAAGGAAAATTTAAAATAGTTCTGAGAGGTTAATCTTCACAGTTGTTTACTAAACTAAAATCTAGAAGTTTTATTGGTTTATTTCGAATCATGGGCATCATTTTAAACTAACAAAAAGGAAACATACACCAGTTTACTCAAAGAATACACAGATAAACTTTCTATGTAATTGTTTCAAAGTGTGTTTCAAACAACTGTGTGTGTCTTGAAATAGATCATATAATTTATTTGAAATTCAGGTTGGAAATAATATGACCACATTAAATTACTATTGGTTTTAATCTTCTAAATTTTAGGGAATAAAAAAAGCCCTCAACCAAGTTTTTCTTCATATTGGTAATCCCAAAAATTAGGTTAGATTTATAGTTTTATTCTGGTGATCTAAGTTAACATGTATTTCTTAATTAAAATATTGAGATTTTTAAAATGTGGTAAATAAGGGATATGTTCTATTTTTATATACTATCATGATCAAGATGATCACTATTCTCATCATTCTCACTAAGTATGTATTAAGCACTCTCAAATTATACAAAGCTACACCCTGTCATAACTTACATTTTTTAATGTAATGTTTGTTATGACATTAAAACTGAATTATTCTGTTTTGATCTTTTAAAGACCTCAAAACATTTTCTAAAGTACAGTAACCCATTCCACAAAAATATTCATTACCTTACCATTGATATTTTTCTCTTTACTGGGTCATTTAGAACCAGATTGCTCAATATGGCAGAAGAAGAATAATGCTTTCAAGTCCTGTAATGTTAGAGTACCTTAGCTTTTTTCTGTTTTCAATTTTCTAGGTTCTGTGTTTTATTAAATTCTATTTTAGTGCTCTATTTTAAAGCTGACTCCAGGGTCTTGTTAAAAAGGTCATCATTCATGAACTAATGGGACCAGGTGACTAGGGTCTATCTTTAATCAGCAGTGGCCCCTTTGAAGGTTCAAAGGATTAATATTGTCTGTATGTACATTCAGTTTTGAGCTTCTTGGATGACACAGCAATGCACAGGATGACCATTTCTACTAGGCTGAGGGTTATTCCAGGTGGACAGCTGTCTTTTCTGAACAGGACTCAGATCAGACCCACTTTCTTCTGAGCAGTTGTTTCACGGGAGTATCCTTCAATCACATGTCTCATGCTAAGACTCACTGTGAGACACACAGTATGAATTGGAGACCAGCACAAATATAAATGCCACCTTCTTTATTTTTTAGAGGCTATTTTAAATTGTTGGTTCAGGCAAAGTCTAAACCACTAGAAAAATTCTAAAGTAAATAGATTGCCAATTATAATGGAAAAATTGAATTTTATGAAACTTTCATAGCCAGATTTCTAGTTGTACAAATTTCACATCAAAATTTCTAGTAAGAAGGAAGTCATGATTTATATGTTTGACTAACTTAATTGCTAAAGATTATGCACATTGCAAAGGACAGGTCAAAAGGCTCTGTCAGCCAAAGTGGTTAGAAAAACACGCAGAAAAAAAATAATGACAACACAAATTTAAGCACAAAATACATATAACTACACAGAACCATAAAGATTTTTGTAATATAAAGTGATTTATAATAGGATTATAAACTATAAGAATGATAGGGTCTTTAGAGTTGATCTCATCTACTTTCCTCATTGGTCAAGTCCCAGGCCCAGGGAAACTTGGAAAAATGAATTGTTTGTTTAAAGTCATATGGTGAAAAAATAGAGAACAAGGCATCGGATCTTGGCCTGTGGGTTTCAATCGCAGTGCTCTTTATGCCAAGCGAGCTTCAGTCATGCTTTCAAGGTAACTATTGGTGCTTTCATAGAAATAAGAAGAAAAATACATTGTTGGGAAGTTTGAAAAAGATGTGAGTTATTTTAGAAGATAGTAAATATTTACATGGGAGGAAAGCTAAATGTTTGATGAGAGGAAGAAAGTGGATTTGTTGTACAATTAAAACTTATGGTCTGAGATTTTACTTTTACTGAAATAACCACTATTAAGATATAGATTGTTATTGAGACTGAGAATTAAGAACAAAATGATGATTAAAGACCACATATTTTTATTAAGAAATATATTAAAAAAAAATCAAGGTCTTTATCAACTCACTAAATTGGTAGGTAAGTCTCTATAGTTATAGGGACCAGCAAGTACATAAGCAATTTTTATAAACTATGTTGAAAAGTGATCAAGTGGGCTTATTTATTTTTAAAACAGTATGCATTCATTGATTAATCAACAACAAGTCTAATGATTATGAGACAAGAATTACTGGTTAATGGCTTTTAAACTATAACAGCAAATTAAAATTTTTTTTAGAAAATAAGGTGCACTATTTTCTTTGTTATCCCTATTATCTTAACTGGGAAGGATAAATTAAGGTGTTGCTTCATCTTTGTTACAGACTAAATGTTTCCCCACCACCCAAATTTCATATATTGAAATATAATCCACAAAGTGATGCTTTTTGGAGGTAGGGCTTATGGGTGGTGATTAGGTCATGAGGGTGGAGTCCTCATGAATGGAATTAGTGCCCTTAGAGCAAAAGACCTAGTGAGAATCAATTAGAAAACATTAGGAAAACAAAGAAGTTTTTAAAGGTAAGGCTATAAAAATTGTCCATGAGGAGATTGTGGTCAATTGTGTGTGGAGCAAGCCAAGTCCTAAAAACAGGAGAATGTGAAGGAATACTGAATCTCTTTTGAGTACAATTTTGTTGGCTATGCTAATAGCAGTTTATATAGGAAAGAGTTTGAATTTAGCCAAGAGAAGTTGGTCATCAGTAACACAGATGACACTTTTGCAGGTTTGAAATCATTAAGGAAATAAAGAGAAAAATCTTTACCTGTAGGGAGCAGAGGCTTCAAAATATGGTTCATTGCTCTCATTGTGCTGCTGAAATAGTTACATGAACTAAATAAGAAACAAGAGTATTATTTGCATTTACACATAAAGTTCATAAGTTGCAGGTTGTTCTTTAGCATAGGAGAAAGAGCACATAAATTAATCAGGAATTAAATTGCTTGAATCAACATTAATTCATCGAAAGTTCTAGTCCATATGATAAAAGGATTATTGTGAGCATGTTGGAATTTCACCATTTTGATCATCCTGCAGTACTCCTCTTTACTTTTTAAAAACTCAAATTATTAATTTTCTCCATATGGAGACTTACTTTGATTCATTTTTCCTCCCTTGCTCCAATCTCTGTTAGGAGCATAATTCTGTGCTACATTTAGTTAGATACTAGTCCTTCACACATTCTGCTTCAATTGTAGGTTTTCTTATCCTATTTTGCCAGAGCATACTCAAGAGCAATGATTATACCTTTTTCTTTTCTGCATCTATATCTCTATTCTTAGTGCCATAGCCTTCCACTCATAAATAAATAAAATCATTGTTGTAAAGACTGAAATGAAAGAAAATTTGAGCTTCCTGGTCTTCATTCTACAGCTTGATCACTCTTTTACAGCTACAGCAATGAATTTTCCATGATAGTAAACATTTTTTCAAGGCAAAAAGATGTATTCCAAATTAGAGCCACATATGGAAATTAGGAATCTTGCCTCCAACTTAAAGTCATGCAATTGTAAAACCTCTTTGCTCTAGAATGCCAGTCTCTTATCTCTTTTAGAAATTGTCTCTCCAAATACTATATGATACTAAGTAAAACATTTAAATCTTATTATATTTTCAGTGCTATATTACCAGTTCATGTCATTCATTCATTATTTGAGGAACATCCTGATAACACAATAGTTACTGAACTTTCTTCTTTTCATGAGACTTACAAACTAGGATACAGGCAGGTGATAATAAAAAAAGAATGTGGTATAAATGCACTGAAAGAAAAGAATAACAGACATTGGAAATAGAAAATGCTAGAAAAGGTTAGCACTTGAAGCCTTCTTAATGTCATCTGTAAGTTTGACTGTGGTAGTTTGCCACCAAAGCTCTGTCTGTGCTTATGCAATGTTATTCCCAGCAAGCAACAGTATACCAAATTGTTCTAATCCAAGAATATCATGGTTGAAGTTCTACTGTGTCTTCAGGTGTGTGTTAATGTGTCTCACATTGCAGCTGCTTGAGTATTCTGCTGTATATATCCAAGCATATTCAGGTCAATGTGATATGTATTAAAAAACATTACTGTAATAAAAAATTTTTGTGGGGGAATGCCCAAATATACTATTAGACATTTTGAGTAACAAAGGGAATAATGAAGAAAAAAGAAAAGGGGTTAGAGGAGGTCCCCAAAAATTATTAGAAAAAAATAAGCCAAATGATCTGTTACAAAATTTACATTTCCAGCTAGATATCAGGTAAATTGGCCAGCACTGAAAACATTACATTATGTACAAACCTGACCTATTATAAAG